TTTTTTCACACGCTGCAGCGGGTTCTAGTGGTCAGAACACTTTTTATTACAATGAGTATCAGTGCTTGGGCCTGTTAGGGAGCATTGATATTCAAGTAATGCCGTTGCAGTCAGCAAACTAATGGTTCCTTCTTTTATCTGTTTTTTTTTCCTTTCTCTGTCTTGCAGGGTTTTGTTTACCAGCTCCGTTCTCAGTCTTGCTGAACTTGTAGCCTTGCGGCCTGATCTCACCCGTCTTAAGAAGGTCCTCTACTTCCATGAGAACCAGTTGGTTTATCCAGTTCGCAAGAGCCAAGAAAGAGACTTCCAATATGGCTACAACCAGATCCTCTCATGGTAACAGCAGATTCAGACAAACTTTACAAAAGTACCCTGGGAAGAAGAACATATGTTAGGGTTACCAGATGTATCTAATGTGCTGGATTTCAGTTGTATCTTTTTTTTTCGACGATAAGTATAACAAAGTGCCGTGAATTACTCTAAAAAAACAAAAAAAAACTATACGTAGTTTTACTGTTCATAAGTGTGCATAGTTGACTAAATTGTAAGTGAAAGTGAAGTGACGTGTGGAGTAGTGGTGACCCATACTCTGAATTTGTGCTCTGCATGTAACCCATCCAAGTGCACAAACACAGTAGTGAACACCCACACACGCACACCCGGAGCAGTGGGCAGCCATATTGGGCAGCACTTGGGGGTTCAGTGCCTTGCTCAAGGGTCTCACCTCAGTCGTGGTATTGAGGGTGGAAGAGAGCACTGGTTATTCACTCCCCCCACCGACAATTCCTGTCAGACCTGAGACTCTAACCCGTAACCTTCGGGTTACAAGTCCGACTCTCTAACCATTAGGCCACGACTACTATGGCAGTAGTATGTCAGTGTATGATATGTCATACTTCATATAATTTCTACATTAACCATGATCAAAATACACAAACAAAATTAAAATTGTAACATTAAAAATTTAAATTGAACTAGAAATTTCCCAGGTTTTGATTTTCAGAAATCATCTTAACGTATGTTAAAATGTCAGTACACTCTGTGTATAACAAGTACCATTTCTGTACCAGACTGGATTTTAATTCACAAGAGAGACAGTAGTCTGAGACAGAATAGTTTATCATGCTTGGCATGATGTGATTGGTTAATTATGGGCTCGTATAATGGCACTCTAATTCTTAAGAACTGACTGTTTTAAAGCCTAATGTCATAATCAATCTTTATGCTTGAAAGAAAGGGTTTTAAGAGCTCTAATTGGAATACATTGTGATTGTTGTCTGTCAGAGTATCATGTCAATAATTCAAAGGCCCTTTGCTTGCTCAACTTTATTAACGTGGCAGAACAGTAACACAAAAAAGCGCTCGGCTCCTCTAATTCACTCTCTAATTGAGCGCAATGCAGTGATTGATTCTGGCAATTGGGGTTAATCAGTGTGCCATTTAAAAACATGGTGTGTTTGTGTCTGTGGACTCTAATCAACATGTATTAGATATTAAAAGTGACTAGTTACTGTAGACGTCTGCTAAGCGGTTCTTTTTTATATGCGATTGAAGTTTGCTTTTCAAAACATATGCTGTTTTTAATAACGCTCATTTTCGAGAATTAATTAAGAAGCATTATTGTGACACTTTGACATTTTGTGGCTTTGTTTGTCAGTATTTTTCTTCCTTCGTCATCTTAAATGACAATGTTTTCCCAGCCTGGTTGCGGATGTGGTGGCCTTCAACTCTTCATTCAACATGGAGTCCTTCCTCTCCTCCATCTGCACCTTCATGAAGACCATGCCTGACCATCGGCCCAAAGATCTGGACCAGCTCATCCGGCCCAAGTGCTGCGTCCTCCACTTCCCAATTCGCTTTCCCGATGTCACAAGGTCTGTCCTTATATCCCTCACCACAGTCTTCTAGGGATCACTCCTCCACTGATTAAAAAATGTGCTAGCGAGTTCAGTCTTAATCCGCCCCCAAAAGCTGATTGTGTATGCAAGCGTGGTTAATGGCGAGTGGGCAAAGTTGTGTAAGAAAGTGATTAGAATAGACAGCTTTAATATCCTGTGTGGATCACTTGACACGCTCCTGCTACAGATATGTGCTCGTGCTAGGGCGCAGATGCAGGAACATACACAACATGCCCACTGGGACAGGAAGCAATTTCTTTGTGTTATAGTTTGACTGTGGATGATGTAGGTATTTGTGTTTGTTTTTTGTGTGGCTGAGAAACTAATGATGCAGTATGAAAATTAGTGAGGATTTTTACTCAAGGCATGGCATCTGCCTTGAATGTCAGCAAATCAAACAGAAATTAAAATAGAGTTTTATTAACCAGGTTATTAAAATCCACCATGTTTCCAAAAATCGTTTTCAGAAACCTTTTTGCTCATTTGGACGCAAGAAACTGTAGCTACAGTGTACTAACTTTTCACGCTGTGACCATTAATTATGCATTGCATTTTAGTTAGTTATCATGACATAAATAAAATTTTTTGCTATTTAAAATAAAATCTCTCCTTTTAAAATGGCTTGATTAGAAGACAAAACCAACTAAAAGTAAATATTTAAAATGCAGTACACTCAGACATGCTTGATGTCCTTGTGGTCTCCCTGAATTGATTTTTGCTTTTATTTGGGGTCTCTGAGCACACTGCTTCTCTTCCCCCCTACAGCTTTAAAATCTCACTGTGCTGTGTACTTCGTTTTGACTTGCGCAGTCTAGATTGGCTTCAGAATTTGCCTCTCGAAGCCTGTCGTCTTGGATCAGCAAGCATGGGTGGTGCGTTTTTCATAGCCCCGTTCCAAAGCAATGTCAAGAATAAGTCAGCTAGAAGCAACTCCACGGAGGGGCCTGCTTCTTATTAGATTCCTAATGAACAGCAAGCAGAACCCGAAACAAGTGGAACAATATTGTTAATTCATTTTGATTCAAGGCATTCTTGGGCTGGCTTATGTGTGCTGGTTTAAAGATTAGAGAGACCGTAAGCATGTAGTGCATACCATTTCACATCATCCCTTAGCTGTAAAGCAGTCTTTGTCATTTTGATGTAAAATGCAAAATTTGCTGATTGCAAAATGATCATATGAATACATTTTAAATTATCATAGCTTTCATGATACAAACATAAACACAATTTTATATTTTCAATAAACACAGTTAAATAAACACAATTTTATATTTTCATTTTATATATATATACATATTAATACAATAAATATATTAATAAAATATGTAAAATATAATTAGATATTAAAATTATAAATAAAATGAAAATATAAAATTGTGTTTATTTAACGCACATTATAACATCTAATATAATCATTGGAATCTGAATTTCATGTTTTCTATGAAATGTGTAAGCTCAGCATAAAAGTGTCATGTCACATATTAGCAGTACATCTTTCTTTTTAATATGTTTGCAGTCCATTATTTTTTGGTCTTCTCTTTGTTCTTTCAATCTGTATATCTAAAATGTTTATCTCCAGGTCTGAGTGTGGCATGTTTTGCATTATCCCTCTCTGATGCATGACTTTTTTGCATTAGTCAGTAGATTCTTGGTTGACAAAATCAAGATTTTTAACGCACACTTAAAAGAAATATCCAGCCGCTTTGTGTTTTCAAGTTTGTTTTTTTGTGATTTAGAAATGCCAGACCAGCCTACACCACTGAGGTCACGTTTCAGTGTTCTTCATCACTAAAACAGCTGCGTGCACTTTGCTTTATCTTTTTGAAATGCACCTATATTGATAACATAGCTCTCCATGTTTGTTATGAGACATACTCTCAGTTGTGCTTTAGAAATGTAAAGAAAATGAAAAAGCACTATTGATGGAAAGAGTTTGATGCCCTAACTAACCTGTTTTATTCACTAACCAGGTGCTAAATATATCTTGACTGTGTAAATGTAAATTATGTTTCCTATAGATTGCACCTTTTTCACAAAATTGGCCTGCTTCAAATAATGATATTACCTGAATTTCATTTAAAAGAAATATTAGAAATTGTCTTCAAATTGTGTTCAGCACAGACTGGTGGGCAATTTTGTGCCATTACCTGATTTGCATGATTCCATCGATGAATCAGACAATATATAGCTTTTGGATAAAAAAACAACAACAACACAATCAGGGGACACTCTTACTGAATTCCTCCCTCTGTCTTTTGGTGTTTGTGTGTCTGTGTGTGTTGTTTGTGTGTTTCATTTCTATGAGGAGATGGATGTGCACCTACGCTTGGTTGGATGACAAATTTGCCCTGTGTGTAAAATGTGGGTTAAGATGACATTAGTCATGTTGGTCCACACTAGTGTGAGTGCATCTTTGTGAGTGTGTGTGTCTGTATCATGGGTAAGACACGCTGTAAGTAAGCTGACACTGATGACGCAGGGCTCTCGCCTACAGTGTTTCTCAGCTCATTTTCAGATGGTAATTCGCCCCTTCCAAAGCAAACTCACAGAGTGTAAGGAAACGATTATATGCATGGCCGGCCATCCGTCAACATGCCCTGGGTTCTTTTCTCAGCAACCAACTTTGTTGGATGGATTTAAAAATATTCCCAGAGACAAACAAGAGAAGAAGCAGAGTATTTGATTTGAAATATCTCGCAGGTGGGCTCCCTTTGGTCCTTTGTTTATGTGATGTATATTTCTTATTTCATTCACTCTTTTGTTCTCTTTCTGCCAAAACAAACGTGAAAAAGAAGTACAATTTGTCTAATTATGAAAATATGGCTGCACTGCCATACCATATTCACAATAGATGCTGTGGAAAACAAAAGACAGACTGCAAGATGTCAAGAATACTTATATAGTATGTATAGTCACGAGAGGACAGCCCATAGAGGTTAGCAAAAGGAAACTCCCTTTAAAGTAAATAAAGTACAGGGTTAGCCCGCAGTCACCATCCCCATTTAGTGGAGAATGACGGAGAAAAATAAACAAGGTAAAAGTAACCTCAGAATGAAAACATTTTTTGTAATATCTCATTGAATGTAACATAATCCAAAGAAATCTCTCTTTAAAAGGATTCTATTCCCTCACAGTATCCTTTGGATCAATTTCATCAAACCTCACTTATTAATTGGCTTTCTGCGTATAGCCGTAATTCAATCGTGATTGACCCTAGTGAGCAGGAGCCCAGCTGAGCGAGGCCATACCACATCATCAATCACCGAAATCCACAACGCTGGTGGCCCCTATTAAAGGCTAGTCTTTGTATTAAAACACAACAGGCCAACTGGGTGTGTTTGCATAGAGTCACATGACAATCAGGTGTCCTTTCAAGAGTTTCAGCCCAACGGAGCCGCCACATCACAAAGTTAAATGTAATGCTTCTCTGATTTCCTGTGTTCTTTGCTCTGGCAGAAGAGGGAATTTGGTTTCCATAGCGCTTAACTGGCATCAGATGTTTGCAGAAAGTCCCACGCACCCAATCGGAGCGCTAAGATTGTTGGCCAGCACTGTATTGATCCCAACGCTGTGATCTAAAACAATGACAGTTCCTCCTAAGACGGGGACCACAGTGCTATCAAGCTAATCGAGGGGAAAATCCATCACAGGAATCTCTCGTAGACTCTTGTTGTCAAGAGGACCAGGTTTTCATTAGCCCATTTAACTCAGCACAGATAACTGAAGCTACTTTTCAAAGTTGGTGGGGAAAAGAGGGTATTTGGCTGCTTTTTAAAAAGCAGTTCAAAGGCATGGATGTGACTCTCTGTACGGCGGCAGCAGATGGCAGGATATCCTGCTGTAGAGATTGTCTCAGAACGGTTCAAAGGGAACAGCACAGTGGAAATTATGCGCCTTGGTCCCATATCGAAGTAATAAAGTCGCATCAAAGACGCCGATTACCTTGTTACATAAACCAGTGCTATGGCTTCATAGTTGTGTGGGTTACATTATTTAATTGAACCGTGTGGGTGTGTTTTTGTAGAAATGTGTGTAAAACATTGAGTTGTGGATTTTGTCCCTGGACAGCTGAGGAAACCATCCCAGTGTATTGGAAAATTCGCTGTTGGCCCAATGCAAGCTTGTTTTGTAAATACGTATAAGTAATAAAAGCTGGTTTTGTGTCATAGCCGTGATGTATCTGCTGATGTTGAGCTTCTGCTAATTCTGCTTTTCGTACTTGCTCAGGTTCCCGTGGAGGCCTTGATTATCACCGTATTCCCCCAGAGTCGGTGGCCACCAGTGGTCAGAAAGTCATCACTTGGCACCCGAGCTCCAAATCCTCATGCGCCTTGCTACTCATCCCGTAGCACTCTCTTTTTTGATTGCTGTTAAGCCTTAATGTGGGCAGGATGGGGTGATGAGGAGATGGGCTTTCTTAATCAAACCGCTGAGTGTTTAATCTTGTCGGTGAAACATCTGGCGGGCACCTTTTCTCATTTGTTTCTTTGACATCGGATTCCACCACCTCGTGCTCGGAGGACATTTTCAAAAGGGATCTTCATCCTTGTGGCACGAGGACTCCTCAGAATGTGCCCTGTGAAAATAATCCAAAAGTAAAGCCCAAAGGTATGGCATGCGTTTGATCTCCAGATCACATGTGCCAGGAACGAACCACAATTGAGTCCATATGGTGCTTTTAAGTGCTAGGAGCGAACCGTGATAAATAGGAATGAATCAAGGATAAAGTCTCTGGCTTTAGAGATTTGTCCCAAGCCGCTGGCTTGTGGCCATAGGTTTTGCCATGCTGTAATCAGGACATGCAGGTATTTATAAAGCACAAGCAAATATGTGCCGCCTTGATTGTTTGCTCTTGACGAGGGGGAATATCTAATCAAGTATATTACCAGGTATACATTTTCCAGTCTCAAAAGAGCCTCCGAAAGTGAGCATCAATGTGCCCTGCTCAGTTCAAAATCACTTACAGAGCACTTTAA